GAGCTGAGGCTGGCTGAGGCTGAGGCAGGCTGAGGCTAAGGCTGAGGCTGATGCAGGCTGAGGCTGAGGCAGGCTGAGGCTGAGGCCGAGGCTGAAGGCAGACTGAGGCTGAGGCTGAAGCAGGCTGAGGCTGAGGCTGAAGGCAGGCTGAGGCTGAGGCTGAAGAAGGCTGATGCTGAGGCAGGCTGAGGCTGAGGCTGAGGCTGATGCAGGCTGAGGCTGAGGCAGGCTGAGGCTGAGGCCGAGGCTGAAGGCAGACTGATGCTGAGGCTGAAGCAGGCTGAGGCTGAGGCTGCGGCAGGCTGAGGCTGAGGCGGAGGCTGAAGGCAGACTGAGGCTGAGGCTGAAGCAGGCTGAGGCTGAGGCTGAGGCAGGCTGAGGCTGAGGTTGAGGCTGATGCAGGCTGAGGCGGTCTGAGGCTGAGGCCGAGGCTGAAGGCAGACTGAGGCTGAGGCTGAAGCAGGCTGAGGCTGAGGCTGAGGCAGGCTGAGGCTGAGGCTGAGGCAGGCTGATGCTGAGGCAGGCTGAGGCTGAGGCTGAGGCTGATGCAGGCTGAGGCTGAGGCAGGCTGAGGCTGAGGCCGAGGCTGAAGGCAGACTGAGGCTGAGGCTGAAGCAGGCTGAGGCTGAGGCTGAGGCAGGCTGAGGCTGAGGCTGAGGCAGGCTGATGCTGAGGCAGGCTGAGGCTGAGGCTGATGCAGGCTGAGGCTGAGGCAGGCTGAGGCTGAGGCCGAGGCTGAAGGCAGACTGAGGCTGAGGCTGAAGCAGGCTGAGGCTGAGGCTGAGGCAGGCTGAGGCTGAGGCAGGCTGAGGCTGAGGCTGAGGCAGGCTGAGGCTGAGGCTGTGACTGTGACTGCCGTTGCCACTGCGACTGTCATCGCGAATGCGACTACGACTGCGAGAACAGCAGAATTCTACAACTGGATTCTCATCCGAATCTTAAGGGGAATGCTTCCAGATATGCTCCTACACATCGATGTTAGGTTGCTTTGCCGGGATAATAACTCGAATATCTTAAACTTGAAATTCTTCACGCTTCGCGTATCCCCACCAGCCCATCTCAAAACAGCAACTCTTGCGAAGCATGCCGAGAGTCGTGTTTTTCAGGCGTGTTTCCGCCTGCCCCCGCATATCTCCCCTGTTCCTCCTTCCTCCCGCCTCCTTGTACATCCTCCTTGTGGTGGGAGCGGGAGAAGGACGAGGCGGAGGAGGAGGGAGAGAAAGCGCTCCTCGTGGTTTGAGTCGTTTGGGTTTCTCGTCCTGGTGTGAGTCGTTCGGGCCCTTCTTCCTGGTGTGAGTCGTTCGGGCTCTTCGTGGTGTGAGTCGTTCGGGCTCTTCGTCCTGGTGTGAGTCGTTCGGGCTTCTCGTGGTGTGAGTTGTTCGGGCCCCTCGTCCTGGTGTGAGTCGTTCGGGCCCCTCCTCTTGGCGGCCCCAGGGGCTTCTAGGAGCGTCTTGGGTGCCTTGGGGGAGCCTCTTCGGGCCTCTTGGGGGCCTCTTGGAGGCCGTTTGGGGCGTCTTGGGGGCCTCTTGGCGGCCCCAGGGGCTTCCAGGAGCGTCTTGGGTGCCTGGGGGGAGCCTCTTGGGGCCTCTTGGGGGCCTCTTGGGAGCATCTTGGGGGCCTCTTGGAGGCCTCTTGGGGGCTCTTGGAGGCCTCTTGGAGGCCTCTTGGAGGGGTCTGGGAGGAATCTTGGGGCCATCTGTCGGGCGATCGATCACAGATGGGGGGAGCACTTTTCTCCCTCCCCCCGTCGGGGCCAGAATCCTCGTGAGGGGTGTCGTTTTTACCTAACAGCGAAGACTGATAGGTTTCTAATAGGCTAAAAAGAGAGCAGCAGATGACTCCACAGGAGTCTGGGCAGCCGTTGGGGAGGTGTTGGGGTTTGCCGGCGGGAATCGTTTTTCGCATACAGTCACACACTTCGTGCTCTTCGACCTCCCAGAACTCCATTCCCGGGCCACATTCTGAATGCCCGGAGCCAGCTGTAGGCCACTTCGTGGTCTTCGAGTTCCCAGAACTCCATTCCCGGGCCAGATTTTGGATGCCCGGAGCCAACTGTAGGCCACTTCGTGGTCTTCGAGTTCCCAGAACTCCATTCCCGGGCCACATTTTGGATGCCCGGAGCCAACTGTAGGCCACTTCGTGCTCTTCGAGTTCCCAGAACTCCATTCCCGGGCCACATTTTGGATGCCCGGAGCCAACTGTAGGCCACTTCGTGGTCTTCGAGTTCCCAGAACTCCATTCCCGGGCCACATTTTGAATGCCCGGAGCCAACTGTAGGCCACTTCGTGGTCTTCGAGTTCCCAGAACTCCATTCCTGGGCATGATTTTGAATGCCCGGAGCCAACTGTAGGCCACTTCGTGTTCTTCGAGTTCCCAGAACTCCATTCCCGGGCCACATTTTGAATGCTGAGGAGGCAGGCTGAGGCTGAGGCTGAGGCAGGCTGATGCTGAGGCAGGCTGAGGCTGAGGCTGAGGCTGATGCAGGCTGAGGCTGAGGCAGCCTGAGGCTGACGCCGAGGCTGAAGGCAGACTGAGGCTGAGGCTGAAGCAGGCTGAGGCTGAGGCTGAGGCAGGCTGAGGCTGAGGCAGGCTGAGGCTGAGGCTGAGGCAGGCTGAGGCTGAGGCTGTGTCTGTGACTGCCGTTGCCACTGCGACTGTCATCGCGAATGCGACTACGACTGCGAGAACAGCACAATTCTACAACTGGATTCTCATCTGAATCTTAAGGGGAATGCTTCCAGATATGCTCCTACACATCGCTGTTAGGTTGCTTAGCCGTTTTTTTTTTTTGTTGTTGTTTTGTTTTTGTTTTTTTCTCTCCCTGTCTCTTCCAGACGTCGCATGGTGTTGTGTCTTCGTTTTGAAGGGGCAGCGCCCCGCGTCCCTCTCCTCTCCTCTCCTCCTTCTCCTCTCCTCTCCTCTCCACTCGTCTTCTCCTCCTCCCTTTCCTCCCTCTTCCCATCCCTGCCTGTGCCCTCCGCATCGGCCAATCACGTCGGCACACACCTCACATTTTTAATCGCCCCAGGGGGAGCTCCACCGAAGGTCCCAGTGGCGCCGCCCGCATGCGTCCCCGTCGCACATTTTGACACACCACTCACATGTTTCGTGGCTCCTTACGGAGCCCCACCCAATGCCCACATGATGCCGCCTGCATGCGTCCCCGCCACCGAATTCAGCACACCCATCACTCGCTTAGTGGCCCCAGAGGGAGTTCCACCCGAGATCCAAGTGGTGCCGCCCACACGCGTCCCCGCCGCGTATGTGGGCACACCCCTCACACGTTTCGTGGCCCTCATAGGGAGCTCCACCCAAGGCCCATATTGTGCCACCCGTTTGCGTCTCTGCCACCGATATCCGCACACCCTTCACCCGTGTCGTCGCCCCATAGGGGGCTCCATCCAAGGCCTAAATGGTCCCGCCCGCATGCGCTCCCGCCACCCATGTCGGCACACCTACCACACGTTTAGAAAACTCCACCCGAAGTCACATGGTGCCGCCCGCACGCGTCCCCGCCACCGATTTCGATAGACTCCTCACACGCTTCGTGGCCCCATCAGGGGGCTCCAGTCAGACCCGAATGGTGCCGCCTACATGCGTCCCCTCCACCCATTTCGGCACGACCCTCGCACGTTTCGTGGCCCCATAGGGATCTCCACCCGAGGCCCCAATGGTGCCGCCCGCACGCGTCACCGCCACTCGTTTCGGCACACCGCTAACACGCATCCGCCCGCACCCGTCCGCGCCGCCAACTCAGCCCCCCCCAATGTTTCGTGGCCCATAGGGAGCTCTACCCAAGGCCCAACTGGTGCCGCCCACTTGCGTCCCCGCCACCGATTTCGGCACACCCCTGATGATTCGAAAGATAACGGCGCCGCGAAAACGGGGACAGAGACATATTATATCGTTCCCTCTCTCTTTGTGTTTGCTTGTTGTTTTTCTTTTCACTCGATCTCCCTCTCGCTCTCTATCTGTCATTCCGCCCGATGTGCATGGCGCGAAGCGCCACTGTAATCTTGTACCCCTATAACTGTGTAGATGTGTGCAGTATGCATGCACACATAGCTTTATCAGCACATATAGACAACAACACACGTACGTATACACCCTCATGTGTGTATCGGTATACATACTTACATATGCAAGTACATGTATGATCATCATTATTTCCACCCCTCTCTCTTTCATATATATATATATATATATGCATACGCATATACAGATATTTAATCGCTTCGCTCATGCCGCCGGCCCTGGAGCCCTCTTTAGGGCCTCTTGGGGGCCTCTTGGGGACCTCTTGGGAGTCTCTTGGGGCTCCTTGGCGGCGTTTTGGAGGCCCCCAGGGCCTCTTGGGGGGCTCTTGGGGGTAGTCGATTGCGGCTCCCCCCTCGGAGGCCACGATCCTCGTGAGGGGTGTCGAAAAATACCCTCCCCTGGAGTGGTCTGGTGGCTTCTCCCGGGCTTCTCTCGGGACCTTGCCGGGGTACTTTTCGTCCGGGGGTCCCCAGGGGCCGCTCCGCGCGCGCGAACTAGAAATATTGTTAACAAGTTACCGGAGATCTTAGCACGCCTCTGGCCCGTTGGGCCGGCGAATTTGAAGATAAAATGCTGTATGTGTCCCCCTTCTTCCCTCCAACTCCAGCTTCTTTCTGCTTCCATCCCCCTCTCCTCGCCCACCTCTCTCATTTTGTACTCCTTCCTCCTCCTCCTCCTCCTCCTCCTCCCTTCTCCCTCCTCCTCCTCCTCCTCCTCCTCCTCCCTCCTCCTCCTCCTCCTCCTCCCTCCTCCCTCCTCCTCCTCCTCCTCCTCCTCCTCCTCCTCCTCCTCCTCCTCCCTCCTCCTCCTCCTCCTCCCTCCTCCTCCTCCTCCCCTCCTCCTCCTCCTCCTCCTCCCTCCTCCTCCTCCTCCTCCTCCCTCCTCCTCCTCCTCCTCCTCCTCCTCCTCCTCCTCTTCATCCTCCTGCTCTTCCTCCCGCGCACGCCCTCTCACCCAGCCCCGCCAGGTCACGGGCGTGCGCACGGAGCCGCCGGAGAACCCTGTGCCCCCGCCTTCGCCCATCTCCTTCCTGCAGGCCCCGCGGCGGACGAATCCTCGGGGGGGGGGGGAGGGGGCCAGAGGTGCCGCTGCCCCAGGGTGCCCCCAAGGCTTTCCAGGCGAGGCCCCCCTGCGGCCTCCAGAGCGCCCCTTCCCCTCCCACGAGGCCCAGGGGGCCCCAGGAGCTCCAAGACTGACGGAAAACCGGGGCCACCGGGGGCAAACCCGGAGCGGAGGGGTCCACCAGCCTGGAGGGGCTGGGAGGGGAGGGGAGGAGGATAAGCTAGGTGCGCTCGCGTCCTATCTGACGTCCTACCCCTTCCTGCCTACCCTCTCTATTCGCACCGTCGGATGTCGAGCAGGGCAATGATCGCGAGAGGGTACGCGATGCATGGTAGAGCACGGCATGGCATGGCGTAGAAGAGCACGGCAGAGCGTAGCATGCCATCGCATGGCGTGGCGTTGCGCAGTGAAGCATTGCATCACAAAGCACTGCAACGCAAAGCATGGCATCGCACACCGGCGCAGGACACAAAACCGCACAGCATGTCATGGCATGGCGCCAGGTTCCTTGAAGGATGAGTGGATCGTCTTCGGGAGGTCTGGGCCAGTCGGGAGTCGTGGCTCCATGTCTAGCTCCTTGGGCTCCCCGAAAATCTCCACGCAAGACGGGGCTCATGGAGAGCACCCGCTGGTTCTGCTGTCAACATCGCCTTCTCAAAGCAGAAACGGGGCTCCCGCTTGATACTTCCTGAAAACGACGACGCCCCAAAGCGGGAGGGGGGTGGGACCTCTGCGGCCCTCCAAATCAAGGAATCGACACCGAATGTTTTTTCGGGGGGCCATTTTTTAGATTTTGGGGCTTATTTGGAAGGGATGCCAGCGCTGCGGCGGGAGCACGATTCGGAACGAGCGGAAGCGCGGAAATTAGCCCAGCGCTGCAGCGGGAACACGATTCGGAACGAGCGGGAGCCCGAACATGAGGCCAGCGCTTCAGCGGGAGCAACATTTCTAAAACAACAAGCACCAGCGAAAACCCATTTCCCAGGAATCCTGTGTAACAGAAACAGTGCGCGGAGGGGGGAGGGGGGGCGGATATTTTTCGGCCGTCATCAGGGGAGAGGAGAATGGTAGTTCTATTTCGTAAATGTGGATGAGGAGGATGAGGAGGAGGAGGGGGAGGAGGAGGAAGAGGAGGATGAGGAGGAGGAGGCGGAGGCGGAGGCGGAACAGGAGCAGGAGCAGGAGGAGGAGGAGAAGGAGGACGAGGAGAAGGAGGAAGGAAGGGGGCTCCTCGTAAGCAGACTTTTCCACTGCCAGTTTTGTTGTCTTCCCCCCCCTGGACGGCTGAGGCTCATTCCAGCAGCCAGAGCTCGGCGAAAGCTTCGAAACGGTGTGACGAATGGCGATCAGCATTTCGAGGGCTACGTTCAGGCACGGGAACCGCTTCGACAGAATGGTAGTGGACAAGCCATTACGGAGGGCTCTCTCCCCCCCCGCCCCACGCCCCTCGCCCTTCTCCCTCATCCCCTCCCTTCTCCCCTCCCTCCTCCCTCCCTCCTCTCCTCCCTCCTTCGACCCCCCTTCCCCCTTTCTCTCCCTCCCCAGATCTCCGACATCGTGATTTCCTCGCAGCGTGGGCCTCCAGCTTTCCCGGCCCCTTTCCGGGGACCAGCTTGTCGTCCCGAGCCTCCCCCCCCCGCCCCGCACGGCCCACTGCAAGGCGGCCGCCCCGCCCCCCCGCCGCCCCCGCTCTCCCGCTCCCGCCTCCTCCCCCGCCTCCTCCTTCTTCGTCTCTTCCTCCGCCTCCTCCTCCTTCGCCTCTGCTCCTCCTTCTTCGCCTCCTCCTCCGCCTCCTCTCTGTCCTCCTCCTTCACCTCCTCGGCCTCCTTCTCCTCCGCCTCTTTCTCCCCTTCCTCTTCCTCCTCCTTCTTCGCCTCCTCCGCCTGCTCCTCCCGCCGCCTCCTCTTGCCACGGAAGGGGGGCCAGGCGCTTTGAGAGTCCACGCGCTGTCTCTTTGTGGCGAGCCACGGCGCCGTTTAGAGGCGAAGTGAGCTCGCGAACGGCCGTCCTTGTGCACTTCGTCGCAGCGAGCAGGCCCCAGCGGGCTCCACTGACGCGCTTCTGTAAAGTCGTTCGTTCCTCTTTCTATCTCCCTCCCCTTCCCCCCACCGTCGCCGCTGTCGACACCCCCCTTGCCCTCCTTTCTTTCTCCTTCTCCCCTCACCTTCCCGCGTAGTGATAAATTAAGGCGGCGAGCTTTCGTTTTTTTTTTTTTTTTTTTTTTTTTTTTTTGGTTTTTGCCTTTTAGGGCCCTTCATAATCACAATTCAGAAATCATAATCAGAATTTCTCGTCGAAAAAAAGCAGCCCGATTGAAAACAGTCGCAGGTAATATGCAATGCCTGGAATCATGTGTGAACAAGAATTGACTCCCACTGCGAATAATGACCCATCGGAAGACCATCGTCTGAGAATCCTCAACCCTGCCAACACATTATTCCTGGGAGTTCAACGCCGCGACTCAACGTGATTGTTGCGTTTTGGCAATCCTAAGTCGCTCAAGATCACCACCAATCCTGGGGCTTCAACGCCACGAATCGACGTGACTGTTGCGTCTTGGCAATCCTAAGTCGCGGAAAATTGCAATGCCTGGGGCTTCAACCATACAGAGCATGCGTAGCGGAGCAGCTGGCCCCATCGCAGAGCATGCGTATTCAGTGATTACTACGACGGGCCATGGCACTGCGCTCGTGGAGATTGCGGCCGCTGACCCCGCTCTCCCAGCTGGGCTTGCTGCTTGCCTGCAAGCTCCCGCGCTTGTGAATGCCGGTGTTGTGCTGCCGCCACCGGCCGAACATGTTCAGTGCACCACTGAGAGGTACCCCAGTCGACTATTCCTGACAAAACGGTACACTGGCATTGCAGCCGGGCCGATACCGAGAGCCGTCAGGCGAGTTGTGGACGGAGGAGGGCGGGGGGTGTGCAGGCGCAGGTTGAATGGGCGCATTGCAGCACAGACTATGCTATATATATATGTCCTGTCTGTGGATATAGCCATACATGCAGTGGGCGGGGGTCTCATGAATCGGGGCGCGCTCGCAGAGTGGAGGTTCCACATCCTTGCGCGACGGGTGGTGGTGTCGGGTGGCGGGCCGCCGTGTGAGACTTGGTCTGCCTCTCGATGGGCAGATGGCCAAAGCCTCCCGCCACTTCGGACGCATGACGAATTTTGAGGTAAGACGGCAGTTGCTGAGCGTCACATGGAACAGCTGTGGGCGGGCAATGCGCTATGCCGTGCTATGCTGGAGCTTTTTGCTGCACATATGCAGGCTGGTTGCGTCATCTGGGCTCGAGCATCCCCAGCCGTGTGGATGGGGGCCCCGAGCCGTCAGCTCGTTTACCTGCCGTCCGATGCGTGCTCTCCAGTCGCCCCCGGCAGTCTCGACGACTGATTTTGATCAGTGTGAACGTGGTCAGACGTCAAGGGATCGTTGCGCTTAGACTGCCAGGGCTGCGCGCCGCCCTGCCTGCGACCCCTGGAAATGGCAGATGTTCGCGTGGCAGGGGCGGACGCGAAACGCTATTTGGGCATGATAAGGTGTACGGGGGAGTGGCGCACAGCCAAAGAGAAGACGTGCCCCGCCGTCCTGTGCATGTGCATCGCTGCTGCCACCGCTAATGCAGTGCGTGCCATGTGGAAAGGGGAAGTGGAAAGTTTCCAGCCCGTTTTTCCGGAAGACATGGGGGAGGATGGTAGAGTACGTGATGGACTACTTCGCTTCCTTGTCTCCTGGGATCCCTTTTTTGGCACAGACGAGGGACGGGCTCCTGACTTTGTCTTTCGGCGCGCACGCCGTGTCCGACGCGGCCCCGTGTTCGATCGCATTCGACCTCTACGCGCCCCCCCGACATCGGAAGAGGTCACCGCGTCCACCTCGCAGGTTCGCGACGACATTGCGGAGGCTAGACCTCGGGCCCGCCGAGGGCTGATGAGGGGCAGGAGTATGTAGATGCACGTGCTTTTTCTTGGTGATTCGCAGAGGACAACAGATCCCCCCTGAACTCTTGGAGCGCATCGCGCATGACCGCTCGCGGGGGCGTGTCATAAGAGCTGCTGAACTCCAGAAAGCGAGACAGGCTCGCTTGCGCGTAGTAGCCCCTTGGACCCATGATCTTAATTTTGACAGAGTTTGTTCGGATAAGTTGCTGCCTGTAAATTATCATGAGAAGTTGGGGGTCGCTGTTCAGTTATGAGTGGAGGGGTGGAGGTGCAGAATGGCAAGTTGCTGTTGTCTTCTGTGCCGCCTTTCTCAGCCACCTGTCTCTGTGCTTGCGCGCTCTCTGGTGGCGCGCAACCTGGGGGGCTCTACGGCGTGGTGACTCAGGACCAATGCTGTTGCTGCCCTCTTTGGCTTCGATTGCGATCTTGGTGCTTCTCTCTTCGTTCGGTCTCTAGCGGGGACTAGCGTTGGAGGCGCCAGGCGGTCTCACCCTCCCCACTTCCCTCCCTAGCTTTCAGCCTACCCAGGTCGGGGCTGAGGGTGGAGTTTAGGTCTGTTGGAGGGGGCGAGGTTCGCACTGCGGTGTTGATGCAGGCATGGGCCACAGGTCGAGCGTGCAGAAATCGTGCACTTCCGCTGGCCCCTGCCTCGCACCCGCCCACTCAGCTGCCTTCTCGGCCCTTCGCAGGCCATCTCAACTGCTCCCCATTCAGATCAGCCTCCTCATGCCTTTTCCCTACTCCCGTTGCGGTGCCATGCGCCTTGAGCGCCTTCGACGATATGGGGGTGGCATGGGTTAGGCATGGGTATGGTCGGATGGAGTATTTACACCTTGGCGCCCGTGCTGCTAGATACCGCGTGTTTCTGCCAGCAGCTAGTGAGTGCCGCGCTAAGCTGACCGTCTCCTCGGCGAATCAGAGCGCAATCCAAAAATCCTGCTCCCTCCCTCATCCCCCCTTTCCTCCTCCCTCCTCCCTCCTCCTCCCTCTTCCCTCCCTCCTCCACCCCCCTCCCTCTTCACCCCTCCCCTCTCCGGAGGGCCAGCGCTCCCTCCTCCGTGCCCCCGCCCCCGCCGGAGCGCAGGTGGGCGCCTCCGCTCCCGACGCCGGCTCGCGCGCCCTGGAGCTGCTCCGCCGCACCGCCAGGGCGACCAAGTCGCAGGCGGGTCGACCGCCGCCGCTGGCCGCCGCCGCCGACCAGCGGCCATCGTCGCCGCGGGCTGCCGCGGGCCGCCGAGCGCCGCAGCGGGCGGGCGCCGAGGGCCGCGCCTCGCCGCGGGGCTCCCCGCGCTGGGCCTGCCGCTCGCCGCCGCCGACGGACGCCGTCGCTGCCGGGGTGGTGTCCACCAGCTGCGCTCGGCGAGAGCGCTGCGGGGATGCCGGGAGCGGGCCAAACGGCCGCAGGGGGCCCGGGCCGAGGCCCGAAAGCCAGCGGTCGGCGTCGTCGTCGTCGTCGTCGTCGTCGTCGTCGTCGTCGTCGTCGTCGTCGTCGGTGTCGCAGGCGGCGTCGCCGTGTGCGTCGCCGGCGTCGTCGGGCGTCGTCGGCGGTCGCCGTTGTCTTCGCCGTCGCCTTCGGCGTCGGCGTCGGCGTCGTCTTCGGCGTCGGCGTCGCCTTCGTCAGTGTCGTCGGTGTTGCCTTCGTGTTCTCCTTCGTCGTCGTCTGTCTCGTAGGAGGGGAGGTGGGGAAATGGGACGGGAGGGGATGGATGTGAGAGGGAGGGGTGGCCAAGGCATTGGGGGGACTTTGAGGACGAGGACGGGGATGAGGCAAAAGAGGGCGGGAAGCAAATAGGAAAAAGGTGTGACGCAGTTTGTGGTCATAGCTCATCAGTTTCGTCGTCGAAGGAGGGTGGCGAGGATTCATCGTCGTTCTTCACCGCCCCTCCTCGTCCTTCTCCTCGTTCCCACTTCCCTCGCCCTTCTCCTTTTCGCTCGTTACCTCCCTTTTTCCCCTTCCTCCTTGCTCTCTCTTTCTCTCTCTCTCTCTCTCTCTCCCCTTGCTTTCTCCCTCCTTCCATCGCCCCCCCTTCCCAGACCAGGACTCAGGCGAGTGTGTGTGTGTGTGTTTGTTTGTGGTCCGCACCCCCTTTGGCTCAAGGCTCAAACCCCTCTTGGTCAAACCCGTTTGGGTCAAGCCGTCTCCTGGGGGTGTCCCTCCCCCTGGGGTCATGGCTGAAGGGCCAGCGCTTCCGTGCACACGCTAGCTCCCGTAGGTGGCTGGCTGCCCAGTCAGCTTGCTTGTCAGCGTCCACCCAGCAGTGAGCACGGCATGGAGGACGACGCGGAAAGCGCTGGAGGTGCAGGCGACAAAGGCCGAGACAGCTCACTCTCCCAGGCTGAAGATGGCTTTCGGGTAAAAAGGCCCGCGCCTCGTTCTGATGTTTCTTCCTTCCTATCGGACGAACGCCCCCACAGCGTAACTGATGCAGTGGCGTCTTCCCCGTCGGAGCATCACTCCCTAACCGATTTGATCCGTTCAGAACTTCAGCATGTTTTTGAATGCAACCTTTGCGAAATGCACTGCTTTACGCCTACCATCGCCATGGGTTCTACACAGGTTGAGCACGCGCACCGCCGCTGTCAGCCACACCGCCTTCCAACGTACCCCACCAATCATGAAGAATGGGTTTGCCTGGGCGTGTCGGAGGAGGGCGACATGGCTCTTGCGTAGGAGCGGGGGGTCTGTCACGACCTGAGCGCACACGAACGGGCTCAGTCAGGAGCAGTGGCAGGTACGAGTGTGTGGTGTTGGACGTCATCCTTACTATGATGGCAGAACCGATGGCCTCTGCCACCATGGCTCCTGTCCTTGAGGCAGGATCGCGACGATGTTCCACAGTCCGAGGGCGGCGCACCACCCATACCTGATGACGCGGACCTTACAAGCATTTGGGGTTCCATCCAGGAGCACGCTGACATTAAATGGGTACTACAGCCGCACGTGGATGCGAGTGCTCGCGGAGTCCTTGTCATGGTGCGTATGCGACATCCACCGCTGCGCGCGTTCTGCGAAGACTATCCGACGGAGGCTTGCCGACGCAGGCAAGAAGAAGTTGAAAGGGTCGTCGTGAACAGCAGAAGCTATCGGACGCAGCTCCACATCCAGAAGTCCCCCCGATATCGACGCACTATCAGGGTGCGCTCCCATCGCGTGGGCCGTATTTCTACGTGGCGCCCACAGGTCTTTAGGATCGGTCTGGGCCGGCAGGCGTTCGAGTCGCCCAGGGACGATCAAGGGCTGGCGCAGTTCACTTGGATGCGGGCAGGACAGAGACGCCAGCGGCGAGTATTGCGCCTTGCCAGGGGATCCCGCCCCGCCGATGAGACGCGCGAGATTTCGCCACTGCAAGACATCACAAACCCAGGCATCTGCGCTAGCATCGGTTGTTGGTTGCACAACTGCTTGCCGAGCGACCGCGTGCCGTGTTTTGCTACTTCTGCGCGCCTCTCGATGGGGGGCTCCAGAGGGCCCGCGAGATCAGTTCGACCTCGGCGACGCCCTGGCCGCCCAAGCTTTTTGACGCATTGGGCGAGAGACCAATGGATCTCGCGATCCAGGAGCGGTCCGGGCGGCAATGGCTCACCGAAGTGCCCTATCGAGACGCGGTTAACGCAGGGTCTCTGTGCGACGCCTGAGCGGTTGGGAACGGCGCGCCAGACAGATTCGCGCGCGGTTCTTGCGACGCCGGGTGGAGGGCCCACTTGGCGTAACAGCAACTGGCGGCCTTTCCCCGGGTGCGCAGGCTGTAGGGCGCGCCCCTGCAATTGAACAGCTCAATCAGGCCAGCGACGAGTTTGACGCTCTGCTTTATATCGCCGGGCTTGCCGCGCCCGACGCCTCGCGGCTGACGGGCGGCTGGGGGCGGGGCGCGGTCTAAGTGATCATTCGAGCGCGTCGGCCTTAGTAATTACTCCTGCCCGTCGGCGGGCGCGCGCAGCGCTCCGCGCGAGCGGAGCGCCCAGACGTGACATGTAACAGCTTGATTTAGGGCGCCGCGGGCGCCGAGGAATCCGATTGGGAAGGGGGCCCGTGTCAGGCAGATCAGGGCCATGGCGAGGAGGGCGAAGGCATCGGCGAGCCATGGTCGGCCGCGCCCCCCCGCTGCCCACTGGCCCCGGTGCGTCCGCGACAGGGGGCGCTGGGGCGGGGTGCGCTGACGATGCGCTTCGCACTCGGGCAATTGGCGGCGCCCTCCAGGTCTCTCCCCGCCAATGTCGCGCGTTTCTCTGGCCGTGTGGGCAGAAGCAGGGCCTGGCGGGCGAGAGGTGCAGCTTCCCGCCAGATGCAGGCAGGCAGGGCGAACTGATTGGGAATGGCACAACGAGGGCATCCTCTCCACCGATGAGTGCTGAGTGCAAGTGGAGCGGCGTCCGCGCGTCGCGCTCGCGCAGAGACGGGCGAGGGGCGTCGATCCTTTTTTTGCAGAGCCAGGCCCCAGACCCATCGGGGTCATGGCCACGGTTTGGCGACGTCGCGACCAGCTGGGCGCGATCTTTCGTGGATTCGGATGAGAAGCTACAGTCGTGGCGCATCCCGCGCATCGCCGGCCCGTCTCTGGGCGGAGCGGGGGGGGGCGCCGCCCGGGCGCGCGGCGCCCCGTCTCCCGGAGAAGCTGCGACCCGGCGTTGAGATCCGTTGAGATCGGAGCGGCATTGCGCGCGCCCGTGCGGGATTCAGGCAGGGGGGCAAGGCGGCCCCAGAGTGGGCCATGCGCAGGTGGGCGCGCGTGGAGGGAAGGCGCGCGGACGGGGCATCGCTCCTGGTATCTTCTCGGTCGAGGGCCGCCCCGTGGACCGTGCAATCGCGCGCTCCACGGGCCCTTCTGAGTAGCGCGCGCTTGGCGAGCCAACTCCGATCGCCGCCGCGCGGGGCATGTTTCGTCGCGCTGACTGCGCTCGACCGCGGTCGAACCCGCGCAGCTGATTGCGGATGGGGGCCGGGGGGCATGCCTGCTCTCCTTGAACTCCCGGCGGCATTTTTGTGGCTTGCCGCGCTGGTGGAGTGCCGAGCTGCGTCGCGGCCTGGGCAGGCTCGCAGGGTAGCGTCGCCCTTCTCGATGAGCTGTGCGCGCATCGGGATGCGCCGTTGGGGGGGGGGGGGGGCGCGCGGCGACAGGGCTTCAGCGTGGGTGGGGCGGAGATTATTCTAGGAGCTTTGCGGCGCTCTCCAGGCGTGGCGGGTGTCCACGTCAACCTTTCGGGCCCGTGGTATACGCGGGCGCAGCCCAGCCGCGTCGGCGGATTTTCAGGCCGGGGCGGGGGGCCGCGTCAATCGGACGCCCATATCGGCAGCGGAACACGGTTCAATAGTTTCCCCGCCAATGGGCCAGTGGGCGCGGTTGGGCAGGCGGCGCGAATTGCTTTCAGAGGAGGAATCGCTCCGCGCTTCTGTGATTGCCCCTTGGCGGCTTGAGGCGCCCGGTCGGCGTTCGACCGCCCGCGTGGGCCTCGGCCCCGCGCGTGTCGCGGCGCCTCCAGAGGGACCTCGCGCGATCCAGCGCGGAGGCCGCCGCGGCGCGCGGGCGATGGGGGGCCGCGGGCGCGGGGGCATGAGGGCGAACTGCGAGCGGCAGTGGGCCGCGGCGTCTGGCTCGCGGCCGCCCCGCCGATAGGGGCGGAACATGGGGGGGCCGTTGCAGAGAAGGTCTGCGCGTCAGATGGGTCGCCGAATTGGTCGAATGGTGAGGGCGACAAGCCGGGGGCTCTGATTTCTTTGACCAGTGCCGGCGCGTTCAACGCCGTGGCGCCTGGATGATGACCAGGACAGGAGCTTTTGCGGTAAGCGTGCTTCGTCGAATGGCGGTTAGGGCAGGGGGGGCTCTCTGTGAGGGGCTTCCTCCGCCCGCGGACAGGAAACAGCTCGGGTCGGCCTGTTCTTTTCGATGGGCGAGGCTCTGGAATGGTGGGCCGAATTATTATGGCGGCGCATCGCGCCGTGGTGGGCCCAGGGGGGTGCGCGGGCAGATGGCCGCTGGGGGCTCGAGATTCTCGCGTCGGGCAGTTCCCTCCCCCAGTCTCGCGCCGAGGGGGCCCCGTCGACGCGCGCGCCGACGCGCGCGGGGGCTGCTCGGGGGGGGCAGGCCCCGGGGGGGGTCGGGCGCGGAGCGGCCGACCGCTCCGACATCTCGCGCCCGCCAATCGCGCCGTGGGTCCAAGTGGCCG